CCAAAAAAAAAAAAAAAAAAAAAAAAAAAAAGGTAAAACTATTTTTATTGCAAAACATATTACTGGAGTCAAAAGTACTTTGAATGTCTGTATTAAAATTACCCAGAAGCAACGGTGAAGTCTTCATATATAAATCATTTATGAAAGGAAAATGCAGTGAGCGAGTTAAAATTATGTTAGGAAGATAGAGAGGCACTGTGCTGAAGATATCAGTAGTTGCTCAATTAGGAAAAATAAGCTATTAAAAACCCAACAATTAATACACTGTCCCATCCAGCAGGGTATCTGTCATTTATACACAATTAATTACATACTTTAGGGATAGTTATGCCATAGAGTCAGAAGCCGTCATGAGGTAAGTGAAAAGGTTCCTTAGTTGACAGCTAGATTTCATGCATATAAAAAAGATATTTGGCCTAAGTGTTTATTAACACCACTTAAAACACATCACCTTCTTCAACCCAAAGACCTAAGCTTAAATGAGCAATAGTTGTCACCAGCTGTCATTTGTGCTCTGAAAGATGTTGCGGGCTAGGAAGGGGAGGTACACTATGCTATTTTAATACTTAAAAGCGCACAGTTTTTAAAATGTACTTAATGTCATCTAAGAGTGTTAACGTAAAAATGGTAACTTTTTTTTTTGACACAGGGTCACTCAGTCACTCAGGCTGGAGTACAGTAGTGTAATCCAAGCTCACTGCAGCCTCAAACTCCTGGCTTCAAACAATCCTCCCACCTCAGACTCTGGAGTAGTGAGGACTACAGGCACACACCTAGCTAACAAAAATGATAACTTTTGTTATGTATATTTTGCCACAATATAAATAAATGTGAATAGTTTTAATGTTGTTAAATTGCAACACAACATTACCAATGTAAATTAATTGATTTTTTTTTCCCCAAAGAGTTTTTCAGTTTTTTTTTTTTTTTTTTTTTAAAGAAATGATAAATAACACATCACCACCACACCAAGCCTGAGGTTCTTTCTTCTGGGCTTGGTCATTCGCCCAGCAAGAATTGCAGTCAGAGAAATAACTGTTTCTCTTAGGTGAGTCTTACCTACTATTACTTTATTATTGAAAACACTTGGGCTAGGCACGATGGCTAATACCTGTAATCCCAGCACTTTGGGAGGCTGATGGCTAATACCTGTAATCCCAGCACTTTGGGAGGCTGTGGCAGGTAGATCACCTGAGGTCAGGAGTTCAAGACCAGCCTGGCCAACATGGCGAAACCCCATCTCTACTAAAAATACAAAAAATTAGCTGGGCATGGTGATAGGTGCCTGTAATCCCAGCTACTTGGGAGGCTGAGGCAGGAGAATCGCTTGAACCCAGGAGGCAGAAGTTGCAGTGAGCTGAGATCGTTCTATTGCACTCCATCCTGGGCAACAAGAGGGAAACTCTGTCTCAAAAAAAAAAAAAAAACATTTAAACCACAAGTGATAAAAATAAAGCCTAAAATTACTGAACCTTATTCAAAATACTGCTTTCTTTGCTTAACTCTTACAGTAAAAAAAAAAAAAAAAATCCATAGAAGTCTAACAAGATTAACTCTTAATTTGAAGATTGGAAATGTAAAACTCTCAGAGCTAAGCAAATCTACTGTAAGAATCATATTAAACATCTCTCTGGGATTTTGACCTTTAGAAGGCCAAAGTATTTTTCCTTGTGCTACCTGAAAACTATTGGCTTCCTAGGGTCATCAAAATATTTTTTCTTTTTTTCCACATCACTTGGACTGTGCAGAATATCAAAATACTTTGCTTTCAGCTTTTTTTTTGTTTAAGCTCACCTACTCAACAGAATTAAAAAGGAAGAATTTAAATATCCATACCTATATAACTTGTACGACTGTGCATTCCACAAAACCACAGTTCCATCAGCTGCTCCTGATGCCAAACATGTGGAGTCTGGGGAGAACTGGCAAACCCTCACAGGGCTGCCACTAGGCTGTTCCATCACTGCCAACGTCTGTCCATTTTCAGTATTCCATAGGACAGTAGTACCATCTGTTGAACACGATGCCAAAATATGTCCTGAAGGGGAGAAACAGCAGCAGTGGACGGCATAGGTGTGAAACTTCAACGGAGAGTGCGGCAGTTCAGTAAAGTCACTTAACGAGTACAGGCGAATCGTTTTGTCCAAGGAGCAAGTAGCCAAGAGGGAGAAGGAGAAGGCACAGCAGTTGACGTCATCACTATGATCAGCTAATGTGTGAATTAGTTTCACCATGTTCTAAGTAAAACAGCCTGAAATTTTTAAGCAGATAAAGGTTATTTCATTCTAGGAATCACATAAATGCAATTTGAATCAATATAAAAAGTCCAACATTTTAAAATTTGCTCAATGAAAGCTTCTACATCAACATTTTAAAGCAATGGTCCCCAATCTTTGTGGCAGCAGGAGCCAGTTTCATAGAAGACAACTTTTCCCTGGACTGGGGTATAGGGGATGGTTTCAGGATGAAAGAGTTCCACCTCAGATTGTGGGGCATTAGATTCATAAGAAGCACACACCCTAGATCCCTCGCATGTGCAGTTCACAATAGGGTTTGTGGATGCCTGTAGCCCCAGCTACTCAGGAGGCTGAAGTAGAAGAATCCCCTGAAGGGAGGTAGAGGTTGCAGTGGGCCGAGGTCATGCCACTGCACTCCAGCTTGGGTGACAGAGCGAGACACCATCTCAAAAAGAAAAAATAAAAAAAAGAAAAAGAAAATCTAACATAGCAGCTGATCTGATCAGACATGGAGTTCACCTGCGCCCTCACCTCCTACTACGCAGCCCAGTTCCTAACAGACCACAATTGGTACCAGTCCTCAGCCCTGGGGATTGCGAGCTCTGTTTTGTTTGTTTTTTGAGACAGGGTCTTGCTCTGTCACCCAGAAGCAAGTGCAGTGGCATGTTAGCTCACTGCAACCTCCGCCTCCCGGGTTCAAGTGATTCTCCCACCTCAGACTCCCGAATAGCTGGGATTACAGGCATGCCGCATGATGTCCCGCTAATTTTTTGTATTTTTAGTAGAGACGAGGTTTCCCCATGTTGGTCAGGCTGGTCTTGAACTCCTGGCCTCGAGTGATCCACCCACCTCGGCCTCCCAAAGTGCTGGGGTTACAGGCGTGAGCCACCTCACCCAGCCAAGGGAGCTCTCTTTTAAAGGACAACCTGTAACCTGGGATAAGAACAATTTAAACAGAAAAAAAGAATCTATAAGACTATAACCCCTGCTTCTCACAACCACCATTGCCATACCAATAAATTTCTACAACTCCTCAAAAAGAGCCTTGTCAAATAACTTCAAACTGATTTGATGTTGAGCTTTCAAAACCTAAGGTATTTATTTTGCCTTTAAAGCCTTTTTCATAAGGAGTTCTCAACAATATCCCATTCCAGATCTGCTCATCTCAGCTCAAAAAGTATTTTCTATATTAATAAAACATCTTAGCTGCTCCCTCCACAAGATGAAGACAAGGCTATCTGCTCCCCCTTTCAAATGAAACTGTAGGATTTGCGCTTTAAAAAACAACAGGCCAGGTGTGGTGGTTCGTGTCTGTAATCCCAGCACTTTGGGAGGCTGAGGCAGGTGGATCACCTGAGGTCAGCAGTTCAAGACCAGTCTGACCAACATGGAGAAACCCCCGACTACACTAAATACACAAAATTAGCTGGGTGTGGTAGCACATGCCTGTAATCCCAACTACTCAGGAGGCTGAGGCAGGAGAATCACTTGAACCTGGGAGGCAGAGGGTGCAGTGAGCCGAGATCACGCCATTGCACTCCAGTCTGGGCAACATGAGCGAAATTCCATTTCAAAAAAAAAAAAAAAAAAAAACCCCAACAAAAGTCTCTTGGGAAATTGATTAATAAGTGTCCATGTTGAAAGCTATCCCATTATGGTTTGTCATCCTGTCTGGTAAAGAGTAGAATTATACAAAAGACTTGAGGTGAGGAACCACCTCTGAATGACTCAACGAAACCAAGAAAAGAAAACCTAAGTAAGCGTCAAAAAGTGAACTTAGCCAGACCACACAAGAACAAATTTACAAATTAAGAATAAAATCAAACTCCTAACCACGGCAAACAAAGCCGTATATAATCTGATTCCTATCTGCCACTTCTTAGATCTCAACTCTAGCCACTCTCCCAGTCTTCCTTCCAGCCTTCTTGGCCAGTCTTCCGCCTCCGTAAAGTCGTTTCTCGAGCTGAAATGCACTTCCCTCTGCTCTTGGGGTCCTATTTATCATTCATATCTCAATTCCAGTGTCTCTCCTCAGAGAGTGTTTCCCTAAAGAAGCCACTCTCTAGGCTAGCACATCACGCTGTATTCTCAATACAGCAATTACCACCAGCATCAGATATTTGTTAAATTGTCTCCCCCGACTAGGATGTAAATTCCAAAGGAGTAGGTACTTTGCCATCTTGCTCATTTCTGTATCCACACCATGTAAAACTGTCAGGCACCTCATATACTTAAACAAATATATGTTGAATATTCATTTTGTTCAAGCCCAATTGAACAAAATAAATAATAATCCATATGTAATATGAAATGGTTAGAAAATCTACCAAAACTAATACACACAAACACATATCTGACTGAGGAAAACTGGTATAGAGGCAGAATCAGCTCTGAAAGGGAGAGGTATAACCTTGACTTGTAAAATTGATAATCCTTTGTCCTAGTCTTATTTATGGAAATATCTCTACCAAAAAAAAAAAAAAAAAAAAAAAAGGTCTGGACACAGTGGCACACACTTGTAGTCCCAGCACTTTGGGAAGCCGAGACCGACACTTGAGCCCAGGAATTTGAAGCCAGTCTGGGTAACAAAGCAAGACCCCATCTCTCCAAAAATAAAAATAATTAGCTGGGTATGGTGGCAAGCACCTGTAGTCTCAGCCACCTGAGAGGCTGAGGCGGGAGGACTGCTTGAGCCCAAGAGTTTGAGACCAGTCTGGGCAACAAAGCAAGACCTCATCTCTACAAAAATAAAAATAAAAGAATTAGCTGAGTGTGGTGGCAAGCACCTGTAGTCCCAGTTACTCAGGAGGCTGAGGTGAGAGCATTGTTAGAGCCCCGGAGGTGACGCCTGCAGTGAGCTGTGAGTGCACCACTGCCCTCTAGCCTGAGCACCAGAGCAAGACCCCATCAATCAAACAACTATTAAGACATATTAGCATGCCTTTCCCCATCTTCATCTTATCCTTTTAGGATAAGTTTAGCCTCTTTTCTTCGAACGTAAACTCCAATAAAGCCTAAAAAACAAACACGCAAATTTCTAGTAGATTATCCCTGTACTGTTGTTCTGAAAACAATCAAGACCAGGTGGTGCTTTCTGGAGAGCTCGCGAATCCCAACTGAGCAAGTGCGCACAGGTGATTTTCCCAACAGACTTAGGCTCCCAGCCCTCGGCGGCGGCACTCAGCTCCCTTTGCAGTTCCAGGACATTCAGTGGGAAGCACAGAGGTCACCGTCAGCTGAACAGTCTATTTTGAAAAGGCTCTCAGGCCTACCCAGGACCTGCCTGGGGGTGTGGCCGTTCCCTCGGGCCTCGGCTGTCACGCGAACAGTGAATCCCCGGGCACGCTAGGTCAGCTGGCCAGCGTCAACACACGCATCCCACCCCATCCAAAGCAAACCCGAAAGGTGCCCAGCGCTCCCAAAATAAAGCCCGCGACTTACACCCCCCTCACAAAAGGACCAAGAATGTGCCCGACTCAGAGAGCGGCCGGGCCTATGCTGACTGAGCGACCCCAGGCAGGAGGGCGGCCCCGCAGGCAGCTCACCCCGCAGGGGGCTTCTTCCGCCCGACGCCGGCACGCGCGCCGCAGCCCCGGGGCAAGGGTGCACGAACCGCGCCTCGCTGCATTCAAGGTTCTGGCAGTTCCCTACTGCGCGGTTAGAACTAGCAAGCGGAGGGTTCAAACGCCCCGCGCGAGGAGGCTCCGCCGGCAGAGCCCAGTCGCTCCCCCACCTGCCGCCGCCACCGCTGAGCCGGGCCGTGGGCACGGCTGCTCTCACCTACCCGCGACTCACATCCGGGGCCGCGCGGGATCTTGCCCTCAAGTGCCCGCAGCCGGTGCGGGTCACGTGCCGCGCAGATGAGGCTGCCGGCGTAGGCGCCTGCGGCGACCCAGGGCGAAGGGAACAGGCCCCGCCTGGCTAAGGCCCGCCCGGACCCAGAGGGGAGGGAACAGACCCCGCCCTCCGCACGCCCGCCAAGACCCAGAGCATAGGCAACAGGCCCCGCCCGCCGAGACCCAAAGCATAGGGAACAGGCCCCGCCCTCCGCACGCCCGCCGAGACCCAGAGCATAGGGAACAGGCCCCGCCCGCCGAGACCCAGAGCGTAGGGAACAGGCCCCGCCTTCCGCACGCCCGCCGAGACCCAGAGCATACGGAACAGGCCCCGCCCGCCGAGACCCAGAGCA